GTGATCCACACAGTCAAAAGCCTTTGCATAGTCAATGAAGCACAGATAGACATTCTTCTGGTATTCTTTGCTTTCTGTCAAGATCCATCTAACATTAGCTATAATATCCCTAGTACCATGACTTCTTCTAAATCCAGCCTGCACATCTGGCAGTTCTCTGCTAAGACTCATATCTAGAATTTATAATATACTCAAGCACCACAACAAGATAAACAACCCAGTTGAAAAATAGGCACAGGATATGAACAGACACTTCACCATAGAAGACATTCAGATGGCAAACAAACACATGAAGAAGTTTTCAAAATCCCTCGCTCTAAGAGAGATGCAAATCAAAACAACTATGAGATATAAGATTAGATATAAAATTTGACAGAACAGCAAACAACAAATGCTGATGAGGTTGTGGAGAAACTGGAACTCTTTTACTGTTGGTGGGAGTGTAAAATGGTGCAACCACTATGGAAGGCATTATGGTGCTTTCTCAAAAGGTTGGAAATAGAAATACCATTTGACTCAGCAATTCCACTACTAGGAATATACCCTAGGGAAATCAGCTGCCACTCAAGCAAATATATCCTCACCCATGTTTATTGCTGCTTTGTTCACAATAGCAAAGAACTGGAAACAACTCAAGGGCCATCAACAAATGAATGGATAGAGGAGCTGTGGTATATTCACATAATGGAATACTATGCAGCATTGAAAAACAGTGAACTCATGAAATACTATACAAAATGGGTGACCCTGGAAGACATTGTGCTCTGTGAAATATTTCAATCACAAAAGGATAAACACTTAATGCCACTGTTATAAAACAGGACTGACATCAGGGTTGGAGGAAAACTAAGGAAAGAGGGAAAAAGTAATGTACCCTAAATTGGAACAGATAAGGGAGATAACTGTTTAAAAGGAATATATGATTAGGTATTATTTTCACAAGAGTCCAGAATAAGAGCTGCATAGTAAAGTGGACTTGGGAGTGGGGATGGGGGCTATATCACAATGAAAGAAGTTGTTGGTTTTTTTCAAAGAGAAAAATGAACTGGGGGGAAGGGTAGGCATGGAGGAAAATGTGCTACAATGAATGAATGGAAATCTAAGTTCTCTATAAATTTTCATTAAAAACTCAATAAAAAACCAAAACCTCAATGAACAAAGAGAAGAAATAAAGACAATAATTAGTGTAAAATTATACTGTACCTCAATAATTATCAGTCCAAATGCTACTCCAATAATTATAGTAAGATACTTTTCAATTAGTTCTCGTAAATAGGAGGCACATGTCTGTTAAAAGATTAAAAGTTATTTTTAATAAAA